GACAGTGTAATGGGCGAATGTCACATTGTCCATTCTTGAAAGGTAATTCTTACACTACCATAATTAATTGCGGATAAACCCATCCTAGAATTTTTATCCATAGTGACAGGCGGAAAACTGCAAACTGTTCCTGTCATTATTTATAAATCCACCTAATTTTAAGGCCATGATTTGCTTTAAAAATCTGAGCTCTGATTTGCAGGTAAAAAAGGTACCAAATTTTGGGGGTGAATTTTGGAACTTAACATTTTTGCTTAAATCAGCAAATATATATGGTAGGTCATTAAACTGAAGTTATCATTCAGCAGGAGTAGCATAAAGTTGGATTTTAATTGACAGTTATCATTTGTGCATATTTTTCTTCCAAATTAATTCAGAATAATTTCACAATTCACCTCAGACTGGACTTTGACCATAATTTTTTTATGCAGCAAATCAAAAGCTGATGAGAATTTATTCCGTGTTCTTATTTTAAAAGCAATCAGAAATTCCATAAAAAGAAACTAAGACAAGGAAGAGGAGAATATATGGAAACAGGGTGATAATCCATATCAACAGTGTCTTTTTCACAACTATTTCTCTTCACTCTCATCTAATGAATCCTCAAACAAAAAATACATTACATGAGAGCTAAACAGAATTACCTTCCCCCCCTCAATAGCTACCTATTTCCCCTAAAGGGAAAATAAAACAACTCAGGGACTGCAGGAGCTAAATAAGTCGTACTTCTCATAGTCTTGTTACAAAAGTAACAAGCAACAGCTATCTCTTTTTCACCCTGTACAGGTTAATAACTTTGGACAAAGTTATTAATTTTGGATAAGACTCCATCAAACATACATGGGTAACAAGTAAACCAAAAAAATTAACCCAAAAACTCAGGAGTAAGCCCGGAGGAACTGAAAAGACTTAGACTTCCAAATAAACAAGTATAAATTTACACTTAGAACAGTGGGACAGATACAAGATTGCCAACATGCCAAAACTTACTTTTGCATCTCAGGGAAAAAATATACCTGATGAAGTTCAACAGCAGTGCATCATTTTGATATTAGTTTAAGGTTGACTGCCAGATTTCTCCCTTTAAAATCAGTCATTCTCCCTTCAAAATCAGACACCTCTTGAGCACAGGTGGCAAACTCGCTGTGTCACGTTGCCATCACATGATGTTTCAAGATTTTTTTTTCCCTTCGTGGAGATGGGGTGGGCATGGCCTGTGTGTGACGCATCCAACCCGCAGGCTGCCAGTTTGAAACCCACACTCTAGACTACACCTGCATTTAAAAATGCAGGTGGGGAAATCAGGATGTTATGAAGGATGTACTGTACTTGAGAACTATGAAAACTGGGAATTTTACTCCATATAGTAAATCAACGAGACTCTGAATAATTATAAAACCATCACATTAATAAAGTTACTTGGGGATTAGTTAGATAATTTGTTATCACTTATATTTTAAAGCATTTTGAGCAATGAAATAAAGCATGCGAACAGGCCAAAATGCTTTTAAATTTGTAATGTCTGGAGATTCTAGAGAATCTCAATGCTTAATATAAAATACAATACAAATATAAATAAGACAATGGAAGAAGGGGGAAAGCAAAAAGTCTAAAAGCAGTTTCCAGTTTGAAACTGCAGCATGTAAATTTGTTCCCTAATTAATGCAGTTAACTTTGCCATCTCTGTCAGTTCCATCATCGTTTCAATCCATTCCTCCATTGTGGGAATTAATGCTTCTTTCCATTTTTCAACATTAAGGATTCATGCTTCAGAAAATGTATACGATAATAAAACACCATTTTTTTCCCATCTATTTTTCCAAAAGTGCTTAAAAAAATCTTCTGGTTTCCACTGTAAGTCCATTTTAAGGATATGAATAAAAACATGGATCTGTCCCAATATTCCTTTGCCTTATCACACATCCAACACATATGGTTGAAAAATACCTTCCCTACTGTTACATATTCAGCAAACATTCAAAACACTTTTGTGCATTTTAAATAATTGATCTAGTTTTAAATGACACCAATACACCATTTTATTAAAAAAAATCCTTAAGATTATAATTCAATGTATATTTAGATGCATTGGTCTATAATTTTTCCAGTGTTATATTATAACCAAAATTTCTTCCCTATTAAATCACACAATGGTTAACATATTCACTTTCTAAATTTAATCTCACCAACATTTTATATGCATTAACTATAAGGTGTTCATCATTAGCACACTACAATTGCAAACTAATTTTTAACAGCTTCAAAACCAAATAGTTTCTCATTTGAAATAAATCTTTCTTTCAATTATAAATAGAAATACAAAATCAGTGGCATGTATATCCTTCTAATTCCAAGTCTTTTTGTGACCAGGGATTTTTTAAAGCAATTCTGCACAACACAAGTATGAGTAGATTTGAATTAGAGGACAAAGAGTTGGATTTGATGGACTGAAGTGGTATCTTACAATATTGTTAATTATTATATCTTTAGCTAATGATTACTAATTTTGTTGTAATATTCTGCACCTTACGCTCAAGCCACACTTTAGCCTAGGCAGCAAACAATTGTATACAAAGAGCATTAACTTGTAAACAATTGGATACAAAAAACAAAAGTCGCAAACAATTGTATACAAAGAACATAAGTTGAAAGATATTAGATGTGATTTGTTTGATCTGCAAACAATTCCTTTTTCAGTTTATTACCATTTGTACGAACTGTTCTAGCTCATTTGCCACATCATCACTACATGAGGAAGTTGACAAGAAGTATTGAGGAATATTATCAAGTCCTGGATTTGATCAATGCATTACGCGATACAGTCAGTCCACAAACAAAGTGTGCAGGATATGATTAAAAAATTATTCACATAGGATGCCACTTTGGAATGCCTTTCCCCCACACCTTACTATTTATTCATCAGTAAAATAGTTTGATTTGAAGTGCTAGTTTTCAATATTTCTGAAATGGAATCAAGATCTGTGAAATAAGTCATATTTCCCCTGAACCCACAAACACAAAAGTGCTGCTAAGAAAAGATGGTTCATAGCACCTTACAAAGGAATAATCACAGAAGACTTGGGAACTATTGAGAAGGAAATAAATAATGATAAAAACTATAGCAAAGCAAATTTTGAAACACAACGCAAAAGTAACTTAAAGAGACAACGACCTAAAATAAATTCATCAAAAACATGCTGACTTAATTCAAGATAAGTTTTTATCAAGTGCATAATGACACTTACCACTGTGCAGGAGGTTGTTAGTTTTTCAAAGAGTGAAATAATATATTCCCCCTCTGGGGCTAATAGAAATTTGTCGGTAAGGGTAGGGGCAGTTTCAATAAGGAAAACAATACTAGAATCAGACTCTCCTATTTTGACATTTATTTTCCCAAAAGTATTAAGATTCCTGTAGCTATTTTAAAATAAAAACATATTCCTATATGTACATTAAAATAAAATAAAATTGCCATACATTGGGTAATTTAAATATTGAGCACTCAATATGAATAAATTTATACAATATTTTTCAGAAGGTAAAGTGTTGCGGCTTTTTAAAGATTAAAAAATTAAAACATCAGAAAAGCTAATATTCTTATGCAATAATGTATTAATACTGTATTGATATTGAGAGTTCTGCAAGACTCATTATTTTGCTCCCAGAATTAACATTTTAATATGTCTACTCATAATTTGTGAATATAAATAACATGTGAATGAAACAGATATATTTCTTTTGTGTATCTCAGAGAGGCATGACTGGCTGCCAAGGTCGAGATCTGCCACAACACAACAGGTACAATGTGCTGTTGAAGAAAGGATCAAATCCCTGAATTTTTCTGGTTATGGGGTTCTGTACAATTTAAAGTTCTGCAATAAAAAATAATATCCATCACAGGATATGATGATGTCATGGTAACAAAATGGAAAAACTACCTACAGGCTTTTGCCATGTTGAATAGGACACACAGCGGACAGGAAAGGAATCCTCATTAGTATATACCATAATCTTCTTTTACAGAAGATTAAGGGACTTCTCAAAGCCTAGTAAGGACTGGATAACGTTGACATGTGACAAATGACCTGAGAATGACTGTGGGATTTTAGAATGAATATAGGATGGATGTGCTGCAAAAGGGATTTTGCCAGCGGTTATGTATTACAAAGAAAAAGTAAAAGGTAACTTTGCACTGTCGGATTCTATTCCGACATGGGATCTCTAACCAATTATTAACAATTAGACGCATCCAGGACGGCATAATAAAAGATTCTAGCAATTTAGAGAAAGATGGTGAAATTCCTTTCACCCTCACACAACCGCTGTTGACTCTGCTCTATAGTTTATTACTGATTGAAGTTTTGTGAATTTTAGAATCTCGCCCCCCCCCCGCACTCCACGGTTGTTTTATACCTGTGTGACTCGAATCTTAGTTCAGTCGTGGCCCTCCAAGCTTTCATCTGCAATTTGGACACGAAACCAAGCATTTTTAACAAGACCAGCAAGTCAGCTCAGGATCGCTCGTAACATGTGACCCTTATCAGACGCGAGGTGAGTTTGGAGTGGCAGAAGAAAGTAAATAAGAACCGAGGCGGTGCAATTGGAGGATACGAGCGGGGCTTAGGGGTACCAGGAGGGGAAAGAGAATCGTTTCAAAGGCACTGGTGAGACGGGGTTTGCGGGAGTATTTGGATTCCCCTTCTGACGCCGTCCTCAGCGAGCCCTCCTGGTGCGGCTTCGACGCCGTTTCAGCCTCCAAACCGAAATGTCAGTCTAAATCCCCTTCTCGCAGGCTTCCTTCGCGCGAAGCCACTCAGTTCTACCCTTCTACCTTTCCCGCTAACCACACACCTGCGGTGCTCGATGCGACGCGCGTTACCCGAGGCGGCGGGGCCGCCGTCCTCACGTGCCGCTAATCCCCCAAATCCAAGAGTAGCGGAGAAAGAAACCGGGCTCCTCCCCGCCCTGCGCAACGTGCCCGGGCTTCGCGCTCGCCTTACCTTCGAAGAAGCGCTGCAGAGCCTCGGTCTCGTCCACCACCTCCATAGCTGGGCCATGCACCAAGCGGTCGGGCTAGTCGCCGAGCCCGCACAGGGGCATCCCCCCGGCCAGGGCGCCTCGAGCGCGCAACACCGGCGGCGCGCGCCCCGGAGCCTCTTTCGCCCTGGGACTTAGCACTAGGCTCCCCGGACTCTGGCCCCGACCGCTGGCTGGGGCGTGCCTCCGTCGCCCGAGCAGAAGCGACACGCTTTCCTCCGGGGCGATTGGCTCCCGGGCTCCCCCAGCCGGCACTTCACGGCGGCCTCCCACCCACCCACCCCACCGCCGCTTGGCACTCAACTTCGGCTCAGCGGACGCCCCAGCCTCTCCCCTCACTCCCTCCTTGCCTCTTTTTCTCCGCCTCCGCCTCCTCCTCCCGCCTCCACCGCTCCTGCTCTCTGCTGGCCAGCGCGGGCACGACGCGAACGGCTGCCTGGGAGTCGCAGCAGTTCCTGCCTTGCCCTGCCATTCGTTTAGTGTAATGGTGAACAGAATAACAAGCGTTGGAAGGGACCTTGGAGGGCTTCTAGTCCAACCCCCTGCTCAAGCAGGAGACCCTATGCCATTCCAAACAAGTGGCTGTTCAGGCTCTTCTTCAAAGCCTCCAGTGATGGAGCATCTACAACTTCTGAAGGCAAGCTGTTCCACTGATTGATTGTGCTCACCCTTAGAAAATTTATCCTTAGTTCTTGGTCGTTTCTCTCCCTGAGAAATGGTCGTTTCTATCCATTGTTTCTCATCTTGCCTTGGAAAATAGGTTGACATCCCACCCCACCCCTCGAAACACTGCTATCACGCCACTCCAGACCGCCACTCCAGACCTTCTTTTCAGTAGACTAGACATACCCAATTCCTGTAACCATTCTTTGTATGTTTAGCCTTCAGCCCTCTAAATCGTCTTTGTTGCTGTTTTCTCTTTTCCGCCTGTGCTCCAGTCAGAAATTCAGCAAGTACACAACTGAAGGAGCATGACTGAAGACAGATTGCAGAGAGTTTTACAAAAATTTGAGTTGCAAAAATCTGAGTGGAGACCCGCCAGGAAGAAGGAACTCTTTGCTGCCTACCAGCGATCCTTTGGATATTTGCCTTCCTCTATTTCTGAGTGAATTCATTGGAGCGTTGTCTTGCTTTAACAAGGTTCAGCTCTTTAAAATAACTGCCTAATGCTTATATGAAATCAGCATTTGTTGAGACTGTCTTGGAATTACAGGGAGTAAGTCTGATACAAGGAGTCCTTGACTTACGACCACAATGGAGCCCAAAATTTATATTGCTAAGTGAAGCAGTTAAGTGAATTTTGCCCCATTTTATGACTTTTCTTGCCACACTTGTTAAGGAAATCACTGCTGGTCTTAAATTAGTAATTAGTAAGATGATTGTTAAGTGAATCTGGCTTCTCCACTGACTTTGCTTGTCAGAAGGTCACAAAAGGAGATCATGTCACCCTGAAACACTGCAACTGTCATAAATGCGAACCAGTTGCCAAGCGCCCCAATTTTGATCACATGACTATGTAGATGCTGCAATGGCCATAACTCTGAGAAGCATTCACAAGTCACTTTTTTTCAGTGTCGTAACTTCAAATGGTTGTAAATTGAGGGCTACCTGTAGTGAGTTGAAGGAATATTGCATTAAAGTGGATCAGATCAAATTATTGAGACTACCCACGTGGCAGCAGCAAATTAAAACAAAGAAAGTGTATAGTAATGTTGAGTGCATTGATATACATCGAATTCCTGTGCTTGATCCATATAAATAAGCAGGACATCTGCTAAGATTCTAAGAAAACAGAGATGATGACTGGTTTTTCAGGTCTTCCAATAATGATTTTTTTTTTTTATTCATATGCTTTTCTTGGTAAAAAAAAAAAAGTACAGGTGTGGTTTACCATTTATTTGTCCCACACAATAATGCCTTTGCCATTGTTACTAAAGTGATCATCTACCTCTGACCTGCCATACCGCTGCCCTATATGGGTGCCTGCTTGCATTAGCTGAGTAGTTGGGATGATTTTCCTGCCTTGGATGATTCTGCTAAAAGTATATACTCTTGGCATATACTCCCAAAATTTTCCCTCATCCCTCCCAGGATGTCAGGTGCCAAAAGACAAGGTCCAAATGTGAAGGTTTAATTAAGCAGCCCTATTGCTAAAAACCTTTGCAGAGGAATCTTCTCAACTAATGGTCAGCACCCTGGTTAGAGTTAGATATAAGCCCATGGCCTTTAAGGGGGGTTGGACTTGTGGCAATGTAAGGTTTGTAAGCTGAGCCCCCTTTTCACACCACCTCTAGGTCCTGCCATTTCTTCTCCTACACAGGAACACCCACATGCCAGAATAAAGCAGCACTGGAAGATTTAGGAGGGATTTAAAGATATAGAATTATTTTAATACATACTATGGATGATGCTCCCAATTTGATTTTTGCATTACAACTTGCATTAATTAGAATCAGTGTAGCCAATTGTAGTTCTAGAAGTTAACATAATATGGCATGCATTCTTAGTTAGGAGATAATATGATATATATTCTTAGTTGGTACATACATCACACTAAAATAAAACTTTTCAAAGTGTAGTTCAAACCAATCTTGCATAGTAAGATATGCCAACTCAGGCATGAGATGCATTTGCTAAATTTCTCCCCTCTTAGTTTCAGAAAAACCTCACTGAATTCTTTCATACTTCTGCATAAATATTTCAAAGTAGTACCTACAGAGCAGTTCGCACCACTTCGGGAGAACTGGTTGTTAACTTTCTGAGCAGTTTGGTGAACTAGTTGTTGGAAGAAATCATTAGGGCAGAGAACCGGTTGTTAAATTATTTAAATCCCACCACTGCTACAGAGCAATCGGGAAATTTCCTAACTAGAAAATAACTTCTAATGAATTATTTCTGAATTAACAGGTATTGATCCAATAATGTTATGACATTTATGAATATTCATTTTGGGAGAAACTGCCACAATATGCAAGTGAAACAAATAACATAAGGTCTTAGAAAAGACTAAAACGAATACGTATAGACTTATGTTTTTAACCTCCGTTCTTAAAATCAGTCAACTTTGTCTTTTGTCTTTTTTCCTGAATAAGGACATGGAGAGGATTTATGTTTGTGTTTTTCTGCAGATGCATACACAATAATAATATGCAAACCATACTCACATTCACATAGACTCACGCACAGAGTACCGTATCTAAATGAAGTTACAGTTGTCTAACCACAGTTAACCAAAGGCAGAGGCCCTGCCAGAATGAGACTGTGGGCCCATTCTCTTCTGGACAGATAAAGTACACAATGAGGTTTTGTCCGGCCCTGCAAACCAATTCAGAAGGGCAAATTCTCTTCTGTATGTGTGTATCCATCTATCTATATAAATATATTTATATTTTCTCTTTCACAGCTGTGCAGTGACAAATTCTTCTCCAGGGAGGCGGCAAAAGAAAAGGAGGGCCTGTGTTTTTTTTCCCTGAGAGTAATAGGGCTATTATTTCAGAGCTGGAAAGTAAAGGCTCAACAGTCTTCCCCCCCTTCCCAACTCCTTCTCTTAAAACAATTGTTTTCCTTCACCCTTTCCCTCCCTTTGTCTATCAAAGAAACACCCTTCAAGCAACCAGGGAGGAAGCAAAACATTTTTGTTCATTCCTGTCAGCCTGGGCCCTGAAAGCAAGCATTTCCCCATAGAAAGAAATGGGGAGTAAACAACAGTGGGATTCACTTATTTTCCCTACCGGTGTGCAATTGAGAGTGCCCACACGCACGTGCTTCACGCGCTGCGTCTGCGCACTGCCTTCTGCACATGCGCAGTGCTTGCGCATTACATCATAGCGGGTCGACAGAGCCTTCTGCAGCCGCCACCGGTTCACCCGAACAGGAAAGAACTGGCTGAATACCACCTCTGGGAGTAAAGTGGTCGTTTTATGGACCCAAGTCCTTAATTCCATTGAATCTGATAAGAATGATTCTTACCTTATAGCTCAAGGTTATAATATCATAAGATCTTACTTATTCCTTGGATACAATTTTCTTAGGACATTTAGTCAAAGCAGTGCCTCAGCCCATGTTATCTACTGCATCATGTCAATTCACAGGCTTGATGTTACCGAAAATGTTCATATTTGGTGAATCAAAACTTATTTTTGCAGAGGTCATGTTTATTCCCCCAAATTTGTCCTTTTGTTTAGCTTTCATTATTTCTAATAATAGTCAGGAAAGACTATCATTTCTTCGCTGCGTTTAGTTTCCTCTCTTTCAAAGGTGCCATCCTATGTTGGCTGCATTCCGTGTTCTCTTAAATAGGAATAAATGCCAGAAAATCTTGCAGAGAAGTTTACTGTTAGGTTCAATTAGTTTTAACAAAATATGAAGATTCTTGGCAATATATCTCATATCATTTCATCCACTGATACATAAGTATAAGTATAATCCTTATTGTCATTGTACTTAAATACAATGAAATTGGTTACATAAAATATGTAAACAACATGTAAAGCGTCTGAGAGTCAAAATATATATTAAATTGAACAATTTTGTGTCTTTTACTCAAGAGCTAAAGTGATAGTAATAGGAACGGATCTGAAGTTCAGTAAATTGAAGAATTTACTGTTCTTTATTGATTGGCTCTTTTCTCTCTGTCCTGTTTTTCCCCTACCAGATTAGAAGGGAAAGACATAAAATACGCTGGTTATTTTCTGCTGATAAGTGAAGCAAGTGATCTCTGAAGTACTGTATTGTAGTAAAATCATGGACCTTGATTATATAGTTTGACTCAACTCAGATGAGTAGTCCATGTATTCCATTAAAATATTGGTATGGGTATTCCAAGATGACAAGTGGTGATTGGTGATAGTCTCCCCTAACTCAAGATCATCTTCTACATGCAATAAGATCATCTTCTACATACCCTATTTTAATTTTTTGCCTCTGTGATAACTCTTAGTGGAGTTTTGCCTCCAATTTCCAATGGGGAAAAACATTCAACGATCTTTGCTAAATTTGTACCTAAAAGAGTGAATTGGGAAAAACATCACTCTTTGCATCATTAATCAAGAAACGCATGCTAGAAAACTATGTTAATAAAATATAGAGGCATTGCCAGCCCTAATTCTGAAATTATTTCAACCTTACAGCTCAGAGTTGAATCTGTTGATCCTGTACTTTTGTCTGTTTGCTCAATAAACATGCAAATATAAGTAAAATATATATATTTTTTATTCATGTGAATTTTATCAGATTTC